GATCGCTCTCGCGCACGCGAAACTAGGACAGGTCAGAGAGGCAGACAAACAATACAAAAAACAAAACCGGCCGCGTCACTGTTTGTTAGCCGTTGTTGTTTGCGGCACAGAGAAGAGAATATCTCTCGAAATGATTAGGCGCACGGCACGTAGAACAAAACGAAAAGCCACAGTGTGTATAGTATCTGGACTAGGAAAGCAACAACACCAAACACAAAACAAAACGGGGGCACAAAATAAACCCACTGAAGTTTGCGGTTGTTGCGGAGTAAAACAGAATATAGCACACTCACCGTTCTTGGGGCAGCAGACAAACTCGACGCCGGCGAAGACGGAGATGCCGCAGGGCAGCAGCATGGCGAACGAGCGCAGCTGCATGTCGCGGTCGGCGCACGACTGGGCGGCCGTCTCGTTCCAGCGGCCGAACTCCCAGCAGCGCGTCTGGTTGTGCACGTGGTCGAACAGGCACGACTCGGGCACGAGCAGCGCGTCGCTCTGGAACGGGCCCTCTGCGGAAAAAAGGAAAGAACAGAAAAAATGAGATGCGGGGGAAAAAAAAGTAATATTATTGGGCGAGTGATGTTACAGAGTGGAAGGGGCTGGAGGGTGGGGGGCGCCTGCCAGCGCGCTGGAAGCACTCCCGCCGCGCGCGCACGGCCAGCGGGTCTGCCTACCGAGCAGGGCGCCCTGCCGCTGGAGCGGGGCCGCACAGATTAGTCCGCAACCCCACCTTCACTTCTCCATCTGTCTCCATCTATCTCTCTCCATCTCTCTCCCTCACACACACACACACAGCCACGCGCACAGTCCGAGCGGATAACGATAAAAATAATTAAACGCCGCAAAGGCTATCCACGTAATAAAATAAAAAGGAGGGGGGGGGGAGAAAAGATGGGGGCCTGTTATATGAGTCACAATTTTCATACAAACCAGAGGCAAGGCACAGCGCGGTCTCCGATTAAATGCATAAGCAGTGAAAGGACGGGGGAGAGGGGGAAAGGGGAGGAGAGGAAAGGAGAGAAAGGGCGAGGGTTGCGCGAGAGGGTGCTCCCCAGCCACACGGGCTCGCCGCCGCGCTCGCCCTGGCCTCCCACCCATCCCAGCTGTCAGTCGGTGGGCTGCGCAGTTTGGGAAACTCGCACACATCGCATAGCGCCTCGGGCCGCGCACAAGAGTCGGCAAAGTTATTCTGCACTCGTGACGACGCGCCGCCGCCACGCCCCGCCGGTTAGTTTTGCATATGAGCACAACATGCAATGCCCCCCCGCCTTGCATTTCTTCTTCCCCTAGCGAAGCAGTCGCTCGTAAACATCGCGGAGTTAGTGGCGTTATTCGCAATGCGGGACACACCCTCTCACGGCGGCGTGGCCGTTGGCGGCGGGGTGGGACTGCGCCGTCCCTTATATGCACCTGCCGGCCAAGATCCCGCTCTTTGTAAATTCAATCCAAGAAGAAACATTAATACACACAAAAAAAAGAAAACAAAGAAAGAAACGGTGGTCGAAAAAAAAAAATAACAATCCCACTGGTATGAATGCACGCGCACGTCCCCGCGCTAGCACAACAGGTCGACACTGTTCCATTTTTTTTTTCAAACGGTAGACTTTTGCGTGGGGAATGAGAGGCGGGGTCGCTCGGGGAAGGGGA